ATATAATAATAATAATTAATAATTAATAATTGATAATTATAAACAATATAATTAATGTAATTAATAATAATTAATATTAATATCCTGCTTTTTCTCTCCATAGAATACTTAGAGCAGCTCACATTAAAAGCATCACAATACAATTTAAAACATACAAATCTACAAAGATAAAAGCAGCCTTGGAAAGCAATTCAGTGAAATCCATGCAAACAAAAAACCTCTAACCTCTGTTTAAAAACCTTGATGAAGGAAATATCCTAAATTCCTTCCGAGATGTAAGAATTAAGGTTTTTCAATAGAGGTTGTAAGGCCAGTTGACAGGATACTTTAGCCATGGGTCAGATTAAATGACCTTCCGGGGTCCCTTCTCAACGATCACTGTTTCTGACCTATGGTGACCCTCTCTTGGTATTTCAAACCTGGATCTTCCAAGCCAGACTCCATCTTTACAACGATACTTCGTTGTTCTGGTCTTCCTGTATTGCAGGGAGAAAAGGAATATATTTATAACTGTGAAAAAAGACCAGGCTGCAAAAAAACAGAGATTTGCAAGGGCTTTTTACGCATGAAAGTCACCCCTGGCTGGTGGTGCCAATAAGCATTTCACTGTGTAAGACGAGGGCAGGGAAGATAAAGGTTGGGACTACAAGTCCATGATGCTTTGCTGTTGGTTGCATTGTACAGTGGCTGATGTGAGTGAGGTATATATATGCCTATGGAATAATGTCCAGGGTGGGAGAAAGGACCCTTTTCTGTTTGAAGCAAGTGTAAATGTTGCAATTTGCAAGCTTGATGATCATTGAGTAGCCTTGCAGCTACAAAATCATCAGTGAGGGTATCTGCAGAGAGGTAGCCTGGCTGTTGTTGCCTGGAGGCATATTCTGTTTGAGCGGTGTTAACTGGCACTTGATTGTTTCCTGTCTGGAGTTCCCCTGTTTCTGAGCGCTGTTCCTTATTTCCTGTGATTTTTTAAAATACTGGTACCCAGATTGTGTTCATTTTCATGGTTTCCACCTTTCTATTGAAATGGCTTCTCTGTGTCATCAAACATAGAATCATAGAATCATAGAATCAAAGAGTTGGAAGAGAGTCTTCAACCTCAGCAAGATGGAGTGGATGAGGGATTGGAGGACATCCAACCCCAAATTGGGAAAGAAGTCGTCCAGGAATACCTGGCTGCTCTTAATGAGTTCAGGTCCCCAGGGCCAGATCAACTACACCCCAGAGTATTGTAGGAACTAGCGGAAGTCATTTCGGAACCATTGGCAACCATCTTTGAGAGTTCTTGGAGAACGGGAGAAGTTCCAGCAGATTGGAGGAGGGCCAATGTGGTCCCAATCTTCAAGAAGGGAAAAAAGAATGACCCAAACAACTACCGTCCGGTCAGCCTCACGTCGATACCGGGCAAGATTCTGGAAAAGATTGTTAAGGAAGCGGTCTGCAAACACTTAGAAACAAATGCAGTCATCGCTAATAGTCAACATGGATTTATCAAAAACAAGTCATGCCAGACTAATCTGATCTCTTTCTTCGATAGAGCTACAAGCTGGGTAGATGCGGGGAATGCCGTGGATGTAGCGTACCTGGATTTCAGTAAGACCTTCGACAAGGTCCCCCATGACCTTCTGGCAAGGAAACTAGTCCAATGTGGGCTAGGCAAAACTACGGTGAGGTGGATCTGTAATTGGTTAAGTGGACGAACCCAGAGGGTGCTCACCAATGCTTCCTCTTCATCTTGGAAAGAAGTGACAAGTGGAGTGCGACAGGGTTCCGTCCTGGGCCCGGTCCTGTTCAACATCTTTATTAATGACTTAGATGAAGGGCGAGAAGGCAGGATCATCAAGTTTGCAGACGACACCAAATTGGGAGGAGCCAATACTCCAGAGGACAGGAGCAGGATTCAAAACGATCTTGACAGATTAGAGAGATGGGCAAAACTAACAAAATGAAGTTCAACAGTGACAAATGCAAGATACTCCAATTTGGCAGGAAAAAATGCAAAGATACAGAATGGGGGATGCCTGGCTCGAGAGCAGTACGTGTGAAAAAGATCTTGGAGTCCTCGTGGACAACAAGTTAAACATGAGCCAACAATGTGATGTGGCGGCAAAAAAAGCCAATGGGATTTTGGCCTGCATCAATAGGAGCATAGTGTCTAGATCTACGGAAGTAATGCTACCCCTCTATTCTGCTTTGGTTAGACCACACCTGGAATATTGTGTCCAATTCTGGGCACCACAATTCAAGAGAGATATTGACAAGCTGGAATGTGTCCAGAGGAGGGCGACTAAAATGATCAAGGGTCTGGAGAACAAGCCCTATGAGGAGCGGCTTAAGGAGCTGGGCATGTTTAGCCTGAAGAAGAGAAGGCTGAGAGGAGATATGATAGCCATGTATAAATATGAGAGGAAGCCACAGGGAGGAGGGAGCAAGCTTGTTTTCTGCTTCCTTGGAGACTAGGACACGGAACAATGGCTTCAAACTACAAGAGAGGAGATTCCATCTGAACATGAGGAAGAACTTCCTGACTGTGAGAGCCGTTCAGCAGTGGAACTCTCTGCCCCGGAGTGTGGTGGAGGCTCCTTCTTTGGAAGCTTTTAAACAGAGGCTGGATGGCCATCTGTCAGGGGTGATTTGAATGCAATATTCCTGCTTCTTGGCATGGGGTTGGACTGGATGGCCCATGAGGTCTCTTCCAACTCTTTGATTCTATGATTCTATGAAGAGACCTCATGGGCCATCCAGTCCAACCCCCTGCCAAGAAGCAGGAATATTGCATTCAAATCACCCCTGACAGATGGCCATCCAGCCTCTGTTTAAAAGCTTCCAAAGAAGGAGCCTCCACCACACTCCGGGGCAGAGAGTTCCACTGCTGAATGGCTCTCACAATCAGGAAGTTCTTCCTCATGTTCAGATGGAATCTCCTCTCTTGTAGTTTGAAGCCATTGTTCCGTGCCTGTCTCCAGGAAGCAGAAAACAAGCTTGCTCCCTCCTCCCTGTGGCTTCTTCTCACATATTTATACATGGCTATCATATCTCCTCTCAGCCTTCTCTTCTTCAGGCTAAACATGCCCAGCTCCTTAAGCCGCTCCTCATAGGGCTTGTTCTCCAGACCCTTGATCATTTTAGTTGCTCTCCTCTGGACACATTCCAGCTTGTCAATATCTCTCTGGAATGTGTTTGTCAGAGTGGTCCAGCATTTTTGTGTTATGAAATAGTATTGAAACCTGGACACAGCATATTATTTGAGAACACAGAAATGTTGGACCACTCGGACAACCATCACGTCAGACTACACAAAGCCACTGACATCCACAAGCACACGGACAATTTCAACAGAAAGGAGGAAACCATGAAAATGTAAGCTGCCTTGAGTCCACTTCAGGGTAGAGAAAGGCAGGATATAAATAGGGTAAACAAACAAACAAACAAACTCTCGTTAAGTAAAGGTAAAGGTTTTCCTCTGACATTAAGTCCAATCATGTCCGACTCTGGGGTTGGTGCTCATCTCCATTTCTAAGCCGAAGAGCTGGCGTTGTCCATAGACACCTCCAAGGTCATGTGGCCAGCATGACTGCATGGACCACCGTTACTTTCCCGCTAGAGTGGTACCTATTGATCTACTCACATTTGCATGTTTTCGAACTGCTAGGCTGGCAGAAGCTGGGCCTGACAGCAGAAGCTCACGCCGCTCCCCCGATTCGAACCTGCGACCTTTTGGTCAACAAGTTTAGCAGCTCAGCAGTTTAACCCACTGCACCACCGGGTCCTCCCTAAATTCTGGTTACCGGAATTTTAAAAATCCAGAATCAGGACAGTAAATAAAGAACAACACTCAGAAACAGGGAAATTCCAGACAGGAAACAATCAAAGGCCAGTTGACACCTCCCAAACAAAGGGTACCTCCAGGTAACAACAGTCAGGCTATTTATTATGCCTGTTTCACACAGACAAGGGTTTTTCTCCCACCCTACACATTATTCCACATTGCACACTCCACTGGCCACATTTCCAACATACCTCTCAGGATGCCTGCCACAGATGCAGGCAAAACGTCAGGAGAAAATGCTACTGGAATATGGCCAGACAGCCCAGAAAACTCACAGCAACCCAGTGATTCCAGCCATGAAAACCTTCAACAACACATCTTACATTGGGCACTTTGGGGTTACTCTAGATCTCCTCATCCCTCCCTCTTGGATAGGACTGATGGGAATTGTGGGCCGACAATGTGTCTGAGACTAACGGACACCCTTCATTTTCAGCATTGCACCTTCAAGTCACTTAGGACTTATGGTGAAGCTATAATGGGGTTTTCTAGACGGCAAGCTGTCAGGTACAGAGAGCTTCCCAAGTTGGCATCCTTTCAAAGGGTCCGACCAGGAGGCATGACACATTCCCTTTGCCATTGGGGTTGAATGGTGTGGAACGTGGCCTGTGCCGGAGATGATGCCCAAAGGTTGCACATCCCTGTGTGCCTTGCCAAGGAGCTGGTTGGCAAGAGGGGCAAAGATGGCACGCAAGGAGTTAAGCAGTAGGCAGTGCTAGCGGCCTGCGAATAGCACATTTGCTCGGCTGGCGGTGGAGCTACGGCAGCAGAGAGCAAAGGAGGGAGGGAGAAAGGGAGAGGAAAAGAGAGAGAGAGACAGCGCCAGCCAGATAGAGATGTTAAGCCGGGGAACAGTTGGGAGTCATATTTTCGGGCCAGACATCCTCCCCTGCCTTTGGCCAAGAGAATGGGCATCTTGGGGAGAAGAAGGGGGACCCTGGCAAGGGTGACGGCATGATGGAGAAGAAGCTGGTCAGGGGACGCCAGCAGCCAGAACCACTCCGCAGCAGCGTGACTGGGGCTTGCAGTGCTCCGAGGTGCCACATCTGACAGGGGCGGCACGGCATTAGCAGCCTCGATCAGCCTTGGCACCCACTGCCACGTCCCCACAACCAAGGCTCCAAGATAGACATGCCAGTGGGATGCATGCCGTGACGCAGGGCTGGCGTGTATCCTTTCGCCAGCCTTGCTGCCAAGGCAGCCGGGAAGAGATGCACCGATGGAAACTCTTTGGACGAGGCCCAAGCTTGCCAAGGCCAGGTAAGAAAGGCAATGCTGCCAAGGCCGCAAATGGATGCGAATGACCTTTGACCCTCTAATGCTTCCCCCCCTCCTTTGAAAACAGAAAGTTTGACGCCAGCCGTCATCATAGCTGCATCCCCCCACCACCTTGGCAAGGGGATGGAGCGGGTGTCCCTTTGAATTGGTGAGGATTTGTACCGATGACAGATATGTCTTGCATGTACTCTCTGGTACGCAAAAAGGGACCAAGACGGAAAAGCTGCACGTTGAATTGTCGGCCAAAGGGGTGATGGAACCAAGTTCGGTCTTGAAGTCAGAGGGCCCCTGAAAGGTATCGGTGGAAAGCTTTGTAGTCAAAGGGGTCTGAGGCATGAGTTGGTGGCCGACTCTGAATTTGTGCCATTCCTGATTTTGGGACTTGGCATACAGAGGGCTCTCTGTGTGCCGGGGATGATGAGCACAAAAGAGGGCCTATGAGATGCACTTGGGCAACTCAGGCAACTTACGGCCAGACTCTTCATCTCAGTGGGTACACTCATATTGAAAAACGACCCCTTTGTGTCCTTTCATTGCCTCTTTTGAACAAGAACCTGGACAATGAATGTGACAGTTTGTTTGCCTTTCCGGGGTATGCTCACAGGTGAGACAGACGGTGACATTCCCTCTGCTGGCCCATTACCTCCAGTTTGAACTGTGCAGAAAGTATGTCGTGGCATCTCTGGGCAACGGGGAGATCCAAATGAGTGGGAAAGGGAAGTTAGAGATATCTTTTGTTGTTCAAAGCCCTGCAAATCCAAGGTGGGGCTTTGTTTCAGGAGCAACTGAGCCAAGTTGCACATGGGGCGAGAAGCTTCCAAACCAAGGGAAAGAAAGGTACCTTGTTTGTTTGTGTGGTATATGGATGCCAAAGGAATGCCGGTGTATAGCACACAGTTCCTTTCCAGCTTTGTAGGTCATTCCCAAATAGTTCCAGTTGTGCTGGGCGAATGGTTGCTCAGCTCCTGCCGGTCAGAATTACCTCTTTCCCTTCCTGAAGTTTTCTGGAGCATCCTTCCCTGATTTGGATGCACCACCAGAGGCTCCAAGCGGGCATTACCCTTGTTGAAATGAACCAAAAGAGGGGTTGGCAATACTGCGTGTGAAGAACCAAAGGTCTGCCCAGGTTGTGGATACATGGGCCTAAAAGAGGTGGAAGTGCCACCTGTAAGATGGCCAAATGGGGATCCTTCAAGGTCACAGTGAATTGGGATGTTGGGATTTAGATAGGTATGGGCCCAAGCGAGGAAGAAGTGAGCTGCCTTTTTTTTGTTTTGTTTTGGGGTTTTTTTTGGGGGGGTGTTGTGTGGCTGTGAAGTTTGCTGGCTCTCCGGCCTTGACATTGCGCAGCTTGGTCCCGTCCTTCCTTACGCACCAAAGCTTGCTTTTGGTGGCCTTTGTCCTCCACTGCCTGGGGAGGAAACGGGCAGCAGTGATGGCTCCTCCTCACCCGGTGTTGGAGCCCGTTTTGCCTCCTTTGATCAACACTGGAGCAATTATGCCAAGTGTAGGAGATGGACGTTCCTGGGATTTGAAATGCCAGCCATCCTTTTCCTGTAAAAGATTGGCTGGAGGGGTTGGTTTGCTTCCTGCCATTTATCTCTCCCAAAATTGCCTGGACTGGAGATAGCAAATGAGCAAAAAGTCTTTGCGTTTCTCACTTGGGAGGTGTTCGAGAAAGGAAACAGTACAGAAGGTCAGGGATCTGAAGCCCCGGACAGGATGCTTTGTGTCCAAATCATGGGTTTTGAGGGAGCCACTCCAGTCAGGTCCTGTCCCTAAGAAAGTTTTCGGAGTGCTTTGGTTTGCTTTTCCTGCTTGACAGGGGTTTGACTAGATCGCCTTTAGGGTCCCTTCCAGTGCCATGATTTGGCGATTCTAAGCCTCCACTGCTCAAGTGGCCCATCATGTTTTTGTATGATCTTGATATTGATATTGCTTGTTTGCTTCTACTTGTTTTGCCTGATCTGTTGATTGGAATACACTTCATTCATTGATTCAGTCATTGGTTTCCAAAGAACATTTCCCACATAGTCTCTATGATGCCCATCATCCTCTCTCTGGAAGGTGGAAGTTGTATTCCAACATGTTCAGCAGAGTACTGGTTTGCAGGGGCCCCAAACTGGGAATATATGGTGCTTCGGTTCTTAACTGGGTTGCATCCATCTCATTCCAAACTGTACACACAAAAGTCCTCCCAAAGTAACAAAGTATGAGTTGTTGATGCTTTAATCCTTGTTTGCAAAGACAAATCATTACAGTGCATTTCCTGCAGGAAAACCAGTAATGTCCTCAGCAGTATTCTCCCTTTATTCAAACATGATTGCGGCAGAAGGTTGGACTGGATAGCCCTTGGCCTCTCTTCCAACTTTGCGATTCTAAGATTCTGAAGGGTTGTAGAGAAGATTGTGATGAGTAAAACACAATGGTTTTTGTTCCAAACAGGTCTTTTCTCTGCCAAAAACAGGTTTTCTGCTCAAAAAACTCATGTTTTGGGCAGATTTGTGTTTCGCAAAGGGAAAAAAAAATTCTCCATGGAATCATTCTCATGTGACACCTCGAGATGCCAACAATTCTGCCAAATGCTCTCCCTCTTCTCAGTGGGGTTCCTCAGCTCCCAGGAAATCTGTTGTTTAACCTGGGCCTGTATTCTGGAGAAGCCCTCCTCCTCCTCCAATGATGATGATGCGGCGTGGAGGGGAGTCACGGAAAACCTTGGACAGCAGCTGTCAGTTGGGAGTCAACCTGGCGGCTTAGAATTTTGATTCCAATTTCCAAAGTGAATAATCCCACAGGGGCCACATGTCCCTTTCCAGCTGGCTTTGGCCTTTCTGCCATTCAGGAGCTGGCAAATGGACAGCGGTCAGAGGGATTCACTACTCATTTCCCCCATCCCTTCCAGTTAATTTCTGAAAGTGCAAGGGAGGGAGGAAGTGCTCCAAGGTGTCCCCGAATCAGGCATGTAGCCGGGGGGGAGGGGGGGGGCTTGAGGGGCTTCAGCCCCCCCCCCCCGAAATTCTCATGGTGGTTCGCGAAAAGGCCTTACTGGTGCATTATTTAAACTGTTATGTTTATTCATATCATGATCTGATCACCATACTCAATATATCCCATATGCATGGGGGTATTGGGGTAATGATACAAAAGGTTTGCTAGGCTAGACCCTCTTTCACTCAGACTCAGCCCCCCCCCCCGAAACTCAGCCCCCCCGAAACCCCCCCTGAAAGAAATTTAGCCCCCCCCCCGAAATGAAATCCTGGCTACGGGCCTGCCCCGAATCACATAATTCCGCCAGGTCCATTGGCTCACTTAGCCATTTCTACATTCCCATACATAGACGATGGGTGTGTCTGCGAGACCTAGAATCATGGAATTGGAAGAGATCCCCTGAATGGAATATTGGAGTTGAGTAGCCATTTGTTACTTAGATTGCCAACCAGGAAACAGAAACACTGCCAATCAGTTGGGGGATCTTTTGGAGACCTTTCTCCTCCCCCTCCAGCCTCAGGCAGCACAATGTCTTGGGTTAGCCATATCTCCAGAAGAGCCCTTCCCTTCCAAACTGCAACCTGGGAACCACTGAAAAAACGACTGACTCCTCTCTCCTTCTTGCGTTGAGGTCCCCAGCTATCTGAGTAATGGTTCCAGATAGGGTTCGCATGCCATCCAAGGAGAATTGCTCACTTTTGGTGTCACTTTCCCCTCTGCCATGCATGTTCCCCATCCCAGGATAGCTCTTGTGCCACGTTCCACCTTACTTGCCCTTTGCCCTTCTCTTCCCTTTTCTCACTCACCAACTTTCATTTTCCAATAATTTCCTTGCTAGGGAAAACCATGGGGCCACCTTGGACAAGTCCTATACTCCCAGCCCCAGAAAACACCAGGATGGAGTCCCTTTTGGGTTGCCATAAATCAGAAAAGGCAAAAGGACAACATGGGGCCAGAGACCTTTTCTGAATTGCATTCTCTTGTGCTGGCCTCCATCTTTTTAAGGGACCGTGCTGGTTTTGGGGCTGCTCTCAGGTTCCAGACAGGGATCTGATTTGGAAGGGGAGGGGCTCTGTAGATAATGTTGTGGGGGCCAAAAGTCCCCAAAAGGACCACCATTGTTTCCATATCCATGGCTTGAAGTCCAATTAGCAAATGCCTACTGAGCTATTTATCCAAAATGGAAGTGACCAGATGTCTAGATCGATGGGGGTTTTTTAGCATGCTGGTGGGGCACACTTCTCTGGTCTCCCCTTTTCCTGCTCTGGTTTGCTCTTTGTACATACTCAGCCGAAAAGGCCACTGCTTCCTATCTTGCCTATTCTAAGCAGATACACACGGCTAAAACAGGAGACTAGTGTTATAAAGACTTTCACTAGCTTTACGGTATCGAAACGCAACCCAGGCTCCTCCTTCTGTCTCTGTCTTTTCAGAGTTGGGGGGGGGGGAAGCCCGAGTAGACCAGTGGTTCTCAGCCTTCCCAATGCCACGACCCCTTAATACAGTTCCTCATTTGTGGTGACCCCCAACCATAAAATTAATTTCATTGCTACTTCATAACTGTAATTTTGCTACTGTTATGAATTGTAATGTAAATATCTGATATGCAGGATGAATTTTCATTCACTGGACCAAATTTGGCACAAATACTCGATACGCCCAAATTTGAATACTGGTGTGGTTGAGGGGGATTGATTTTGTCATTTGGGAGTTGTAGTTGCTGCCAAAGAGGTTTTTAAGAGCATCAGAAATACATGTTTTCTGATGGTCTTTGGTGACACCTCTGAAACTCCCCTCATAACCCCCCCCCCCCCCGAAGTCCCGACTCCCAGGTTGGGAAACACTGAAGTAGACAGAAGATAAAGGAGCAGGTTGAGAAAGACTTTGCTGCAAGCGTCACCCTTCTCCTCGTTTGCCCAAAGTCAAATTAACCTGGCACCTTTGCCTGGCATGAAAGTTCCTTGGCCAGGTGCCGAACTTGCTCTCGGTTGTCA